GATGCCAGTGTAATTCCATGATTGAGATGCCAGTGTAATTCCATTAAAAAAAAATTGTTAAGAGAAATCAGAGGGCAATTAAGTTAACATTTGTCTCAGACAAAAACATGTTGAAAGCATTAATACAGAGAAGCAAACATACATGAATGAGATGAGCCTTGCCGAAAAGCAACTTACACGGCTTCTACAAACATAGATCTTGTGAACCTTCTACAGTTTTTTTGAGGCAGTCAACAAGTAGGTAGACAAAACTTCTCTCGAAGTTATTCCGTATTTTAGTTTTCAAAATGCTTTTAACAAACCCCTCACTATAGACTCTTGAGCAAACCAAGCTGCCATGGCCAGTGCTCTCATGGATTGGCAGTTGGATTAAAAATAAGAAACTGCAGAAATAAATAGACAATTCTCACACTGGCAAGTTGAGCAAAATTGGGGGGGGGGGAATTCTCTAGGAAATGTATTTGTATATATAAATGATCTGGAGTTTAGACTGAGCGGGAAAAGTGGCTGTGTGGTGATGATCTGAAGCTGTTCGGTGTGGATGGTAAAATCAATAAAGGATTGTGAAGAGCTCCAAAAGAAAATTTCCATTTTTCCCCAAAATGGCAAATATGGTTCAGCATAAGTGCATGTATAACGCTGCATATTGATACAAGAAATGTATGTTGTTGAGGTGGGAGTTGGCAGTTACTAACCAAGAAAGGGTGGTATTTTGCAGGACAGCTCAATGAAAATGCTTTAAACTGCTGTAAATTGCAGCTGCTATAAAAGGAGGCAAATTAAACACGGTGTCATTAGGGAGGGAATTGTACTGGATTAATGTCCTTGCCCAAATCTGTGGTGAGATCACAATTAGAATATTGTGTACAATTCTGGTCTCAGTACCTTTAAAAAAAAATGGTATTTTAGAATTAGAAGAAGTGCAAGGAAGACCAAACAGAATAATTCCTCATAAGATACTATAGCAGGGTTGGTGAACCTTTTCGGCACCGAGTGCTGAAATGGGAGCGCATGCTCCCTGTCTGGGGCTGCAGAACCAGGTTGCCAGTGGGGATGTCCCGCCACCCTGATGGGGACCTGGGACGGGCGGGCAGGGAGGTGCGAGGACCAAAAAGCCAGGCAGCATGTACACCAGAAACGAGAAGACCAGGTGGCCAGTGCGCTTGTTTGTGCTAGAAACTGAAACATCATCTGCCTGGTGTGTGCATGCACACCGGGTGGCTGCTCTTTCAGTTCCTGGCACTCCCAAGCACATGAAGACCAACTTCCTGGCACACCGGAACCCAGAAGAGCAATGGGCTCACGTGCCCAGAGAGATAGCTCTGTGTGTCATTTCCGGCACATGTGCCATAAGTTCGCCATCATGGTATTATAGTTTAGAGCAGCGGCCCCCAAACCTTTTGGGCACCAGGGACCGATTCTGTGGAGAGAGATTTTTCCATGATTGGAGGAGGTGTGGTTTCGTATGCTGCCTGCATCCTGCAGATGGGGCTTCGCTTATTTGCACGGCCCGATTTCTGGCATGCTGTAGACAGGTGTCAGCCGACGGATCGAGGATTTGGGACCTCTAGTTTAGAGTCTTCAGCTTGGAATGGAATAGGGTAAGATAAAGCAGGCTAGAGGTTCTGTTTTCTGTATGTAAAATCCTGCATGGCATGGATAGAATGTGCTTCTCCCTCTTTACAACATTAGAATTCAAGTTTACCTATAGTAAAGACAACCATTAAATGATCAAAGGCAATACTTTTCCATGCAAACATAATATTAAATAGGAATTCACTGCTAGTTGTAGAAATTGCTATGCGGATGCTTTATAAAGGAACTAGAGAGATTTGTGGACAGGCTGTGACCAGCTACTGCTGTTGAAGGCTGTTGAATCAAGAGGCAGCATCCCTTGATAATGCTGGTTTCTGAAAAGCAACAGTGAAAGGGGTTATTGCCCTCCCCTCCATTAGTGATCAGCTTCTCCAAAACACCAGTTGGCCTAGGATGTGTCTCTGCCCTCCTGAACTACTGCAGACATTATTTTGCCCAACAAACTAATAAACATTCCCATTTTCTGAGTTCCTCTTGCTAATTCTTCAGTGACTATAATTACTAGCCCGTGAAGGAATGTGGCCTGTGTATGTTCAGTGCAGGGAGCAGCACCTACGGAAGAGTATTAACGATTCCAGGAGAATTTCAATACAGTGGAACCTCAGTTTGCTGATACTGCCCTTTGTTGTTTAATCAGCATAATTTATCCAGCTCAGCTCAGGAAGACGAAGCTTCACAGAAGGATTAGTTCTGCAGAATACCTTTCTCCTATATTAGGCAAGGCTGGAGGACTCTAAAGAGAATACAAATACTCAATAGGCAGCTAAAAGCAGCAGTAGTGTACGGCAGCCAGCTTGGCAGCTGCTTTTCTTTTATTGTTGTCACTACATTTAAGGACGCTAAAAAGATTTCTGTCCTTTGATTTTAACTGTTCTTTAAACCTCCCTGCATTTCCCCCTCTCCCCAAGCCTCAGTTACAGTATCACCAACCCAATTATATTGTGGGCCGTAAATGACACTTAAAAATCCCCTCTGCTTGGAAAAAGAATTTTCAAAGTTTGCTCTCCCCGTGTGGGAGAATAACCGTGATAGTCACATAATTTAGGCTGCTTGGTGTTAAATTAAGCTTTTATGTTATGATGATGACAACGACAACACCCAATCTATGTTGATAGTGTGATTGTTATTGATATTTTTCATATAGCCCTGTGTACAGGTAGTCCTTGAATTGCGACAGTAATTGGGACCAGAATTTCCATCACTAAGCGGTGAGGTCATAAAGCATAATGTCACATGACCGCATCAGTTAGTAATGGCAAGTCTGGCAGTTGTTGTTGCCATTGTTAACAGAATGCCGCCAATTGTTAGGTGAGGACTCATTCTAAACCAAGCCACTCCCATCTTCGCCCTCTCAGCCCCAAGTCTCAGTAAGGTAACAGGCTGCCTTCTCTTCAATTCCCCCTCTCATCTCTGCCCTTTTGACCCTCTTGCATTCTGCTGCCTCTGTTGGGCTTGTCACTCTGTGTTTGCTGGCCTGCTGCCCCAGTTGGCCCTCACTTCCTTCCTGATGAGCGCATGGCCTGGCTGCTGATGAGCACTTGCCCTGGCCCTATGCGAGGCTGATTTTCTTCCCAAGGTTGCTCATGCCTGTCGTTTTCCAAATAGTGTGGGTCACTCTTGTGGTGCTTTGGAGTGCTTCTCAGGCCTTTTTGAAGCATCATGAGACTGGCCTGTATGCTTTGGAGAATGATGCATGTGGCCTTCTCATGAGATTTTTGAAGGCCTAATAACAATGGTGGGTTCCTACTGGTTCTCCCGAACTGGTAGTGCTGCCTTCAAACAGCAAGCAAACCAGTTCTCTGTTTTTTTTAAAAAGTGGGCCAGCTCACCTGCCCCTGGGTTATACTTACCTTTATTCCAGCTTCTGAAGCCCAGCTGGAATGCTGAAAGGAACCCATCACTGCCTAAGAAGTCTTCCAAAGCCTTGGGAGAACAGCCCAAATAGCCTTGAGAAGAAGGCCTGGTCAGCCAGCAGCTACCTTGCATAGGACCAGGCTGGCCTTGCTTGTTAGCAGCGGGAGGAAGACTGTGAAAATCCACTGGGTGTGGCAGGGCCTGCAGAGCATGCCTCTATGCATGTAATGCTAGGGCAGAAGTAGTGGCCCTGAGGCAGTGATGACTGGCTGAAAGTGCAAAGGCCTTGGGCCTTTACCTCAGATCCAGCACCACCACCATCAAGGAGTACCAGAGCTACTGAAAGTGCAGAGACGGGGGTAGTTGAAGTGCCCTTGTGTTCTGGTTATAAGTGTGGGAGGACTGCCAAGTGCCCAAATTTTGATCATGTGATGGGAGGGGAGAGCTCTGCAATGGCTGCAGCTTTGTGGACCAGAATAAGTGCTGTTTGTTCAGCACTGCTTTAACTTCGAATGATTGCTGAATGAATGGTTGTAACTTGAGGGCTACTTGTAGTGTATTATAGGTATTACACTTTATGCTGTTATGCTGCCCCCCCGACTTCCCAGAGCCCGTACACGGTATAGATTTTTAACAAACACAGTCTAAAATATATT